GCTGAGAATTATAGAAACATTTTTAAATTCAGTCTTCATTTGGAAGCTGGTTTTACATGGTTCATAGCATATTGGTTAGAGCAGTCACCTTGCAAACGAGAGGACCCAGGTTTGATTCCCGGGTAGGGCCTCTGTTTACCTAGATTTACAAGTTAAACTAAGGTTTCATCTGCCTGTTCAGGTGGATGTTAAAGATCCATGCACAAATCAAAAAGGGAACATGGTTGTTAGTCAATGGACGGATTGCTTAATAATCCCTTAAAACAATAAAAATTTGGTCACTCAGTCCATGACTGTTTGTGGGACACTGCTGTGTGCAATTGGCTGCTGCATTTTGCCCACAAAATATCCAGTCAATTCACTTTACAGGATATTCTGTGAAGCGCTTTGCGCATCTCAAAGAATTGATAAAGCGCTATATCATTTTTTTCCCTTTTATTAAAAAAAGACAAAGCATTTAACATAAAGATATTTTCATTGTATCATCATGTTATTATGAGATTAAATAAAATAGTATTTGATTATACATTATAAGTTTAGTGGTGAACATTTTATTGTTTAGGTAATGGATCCACAACCTAGAACGACTGGAGTTCCAGTATCTACATGTATTTCTGCTTTCCCTCAAGCTTATGTACCAATGAGAGGGTGTCCACCTATGATGAGCCCTGGTGAGCTGCATCCAGGTAGGTTCCCTGAGGGTTATGTGAGCACAGGTTTAAGAGAGTATCCCAATTAAGGTTAGCAATATACAATACAGAATCGGGGGGAGGGTGGAGAGTAGGAGGGTGACTAAAGGCGTGGTCAAAGAGGAAGGTTTTAAGACACGCCTTCAAGGAGGCAAGGGAGCGAGCGACACGAAGGGAATGCCGGATGAAGTTCCAAAGGGTGGGGCAAGGCCGACCGCCAATGGTGGGTCGGGCTGGGCGGAGGACATGGAGTGAGGGTGGGGGTGATGGCGTCACGGAGCCTGCTGCCGGAGAGGACACAAACTGCAGAGTTCTGGATGATCTGCAGCTTGTGGAGGGAAGTGTTGACAAGTAGGGAGTTGGTGTAATCGAGCCTAGATGTGACAAATTCATGGATGAGGGTTTCGGCAGCCTGAGGGGTAAGGCAGTGGCGCAGCCGGACGATGTTGCGGAGGTGGGGGAAGGCAGAGCAGGTCATGGCATGAATGTGGGGTAGAAAGGACAGTTGAGGGTCAAAGAGGATGCCAAGGTTCCAGACTGACATGGGTGAGGTGGAGTGTGCATCCCTGGATGGTGATGCTGTCAGTGCCTGAGGTGTGGAGGCACTGACCGGAGACAATCAGGAGAGCCTCAAGGCTTGTTGACGTTCAGCTGTAGAAAATTCGCTCTCATCCAGGACTTGATATCTGTTAGACTTCCTGTCAGGTCAGCAGTAGTCCTAGAGTCGAGGATGGAGGCAGAGAGATAGAGTTGGGATAGAGTTGTACACTGATCGGAATATAATTGAAATCCTGAAAGACTGAAAAATAAGATTCCTGTAGCATCAATTGCTGGAAATTACAAATGATATTTTAATTATAGACCTGTTGGCACCAGCTCCTGGCATGCAAACTTTGTTTGGGCTAATGCGAATGCCACTTGGCAGAGGAGGTCTCGTGGTAATTCTTCCAGAGATGATGCTACCAATGATACCTACGGTGAAAGGTAGATATTGATTCATCTTGGGCACAAAAATACATTATCCTCTTCACTCCAATGGCTGCCACAGTGAGAAAATAAGCTTGAAAGTAAAAAAAGGCATCATCCATTTCACTCGGTTGCCTTTTTTTCCTGCACTCGACAATGCTCCCCTCCCCCCCTCACTGCCCCCCCCCACCACCTTTCTATTTAACTTCTCAAGGTGATCAAGGAAATGCACCTTAGTCCATCACATCCCTTTTATAAATATTTGTAAACACTTCTGTTTATCTAGCAGTAAGCAGGAACCCGATTGTTAGTCGATTGGTGGATCGTTTTTCCAGGGGTAATAATCTCTCAAAAAAAAATTAAATAATAATTTGGTCACTCAATCCACGACTGTTGGTGGGACACTGTTGTAGACAATTGGTTGCTGCGTTTCGCCCACAAAATATACAGTCAATTCACGTATATTCTGAGAAGCGCTTTGAGACGTCTCGAAGACATGATAAGGCGCTATATCAAATGGAGGGATTATTATTATTTGGGAATATTACAAATTCAACTCCAATATTGTTTTGTGCTCTTTTCTTTGATCCTGTCTCATATTGAATCTATAAATATCCCACAATCCAAATCATTCAAATCATTGGTTCTGCAAAGTTTTTTCTCTATCCTTTATCATAGCTTCTTAGTGTTAATTACATTTTTATTGTCCACAATAGATTTTCAAATAAAAATGACTAACTGATGTTAATGTGCATCTTAATTGTGAAGGTCACTGAGCACTGATGTACACTTGCATAGCATAATCTTGAGACAAATTTCAGCATAAAGTTACATATTCAGCAAATTAATGGTGTTTGCAGACCAAGATCATTATTACCAGATTTGGTTCTTGTCATTTCTATTTTACGATTCTTTTTTATTCATGCTGAAGTGGGAGTGGAAAAATTGTCCCATTTTAAAATTGTTTCAAGTCTGTTAAGTATGTGATGCAAACTGCAATGATCATCTTACATCTTTTCTTTTAGGTCTTTCAAAACCTGGACCGGACTACCCAAGATCTTGATAAAGCAGCCCATGTAAGAATGTATTATCCAGCTTCACAGTAATCAAAAAGCATTGGTTTTATAAATCTATTTACTGTAAATAATTCAGTAGGAAGTGAACATAAGTTTTTTGTGGTAATTTCATAGGTGGTAGAATCTGAAGTCTATGATGCTGACTCACAGGGACATGTCTTCAACTTAATCTTGGTCAGACCCCATCTGGAGTACTGAGTTCAGTTTTGGACACTGCAGGGCAGATTCATCAGAATGATTCAAAGGGTTAAAGCCAGAAATGTCATCCGCCTGTGAATTGGCTCTATCTACCAATCTAAATATACATTTGTAACTAACATTTTTTTTATTTCAGGACTTATTCTCTCATGGCAGAGAGACTTGAAGCTGCCAAAGCCAAGGGTTCTCTGATAACTGATTGTGAAGTATTGTTTGTCCATTAGCCAATGGAGTTATTTTTTTGTAGATTATTTTAACTACTGTTAAATCTTGAATTCAAGTTTCATAAACATTTAAAACTACAATGGTCAAAAGTGTAGAGAGACTCCTTGCAGTAGTCTAAATTGTGGAGAGAGTGATAGTTTGGTGATTGTTTGTTTCCTCTGTCCTAGCTCTGTTTGTTCAGTACAAAATTGTGTTCAATACCAAATAAACATTTATTACATTTTCTGTCCAACATACTTTATTAGTGACTAGCTGTACCGGTTGCAGGTTCGCTTGAAACCAAAGGGTCGGATATGGAATGTCAGTTGACACACAGACATTTTGTTTAGACATTATACTCAGCTGGGAGGACTCCTTCAATATATTTTCTCTCATAGCCTCTCTCTCTCCCAGTCTCTCCCAATCACTCTCGCTCTCTCTCTCACCATGTCAGTTTCTCTTTCAGTTTCTCTCTCTGTCTCTCCCACAAAACACAGTCACAACACTATAATATATTCTCTCCCTCTCTCAGTCCCAGTCTCTCTCATTATCTCAGTCTCTCACTGTCCCACGTGGGAGGATTCTAGCTTCTTGGGAGAGATCAGGGAGGGTAGGAGGGTGGCCGAAGGCACGGTCAAATCGGAGGGTCTTGAGGCATGCCTTGAAGGAAATGGGGGTTGGGAGCGGAGCGAGGCGAGGCGAAGGGAATGTGGGATGGAGTTTCAGAAGGTGGGGGCCAGAGCAATGCACCAGATTGGTTTTGCTTTCTTAAAAAAAAAGTGATGGAAGTGGAGAGGGGCAGTTGCAAAATGAACCTATATTTAAAATAACGTAATAAATGACATTTCTCTGTTGGGTGACCAGTATTTTTTTTAATATATAAAAAAATAAGCTTCTCATTTGCACTTGAGAGGGTTGTCACAGGCAAGTCCACACTGGACTGTCAGCAACAGCAGTGGCCCTGGTGGGATGGTATGTGCGTCTGTGTGTCTTTGCACAACCAAATCTCAGATGCTTTTCTGAGAAACGCGCACCAGATTGGTTTCGCTTTCGTAACGTAATGGATAAGCAAAGGGGAGTGCAGAAGGTACTATTGGCTGCAGAGTCAGGATTGGGGCGACGAGGAACTGGGAAATCGAAACTGCAACGTCCAGAGACACCTCATAAACACACAGAGGGAGACACACACACACAGAGAGAGGGAGCTACAGACAGCTCATACACACACAGAGGGAGACACACACACACACACAGAGAGGGAGCTACAGACAGCTCATACACACACAGAGGGAGACACACACACACACACAGAGGGAGCTACAGACAGCTCATACACACACAGAGGGAGACACACACACACAGAGAGGGAGCTACAGACAGCTCATACACACACAGAGGGAGACACACACACACAGAGAGGGAGCTACAGACAGCTCATACACACACAGAGGGAGACACACACACACAGAGGGAGCTACAGACAGCTCATACACACACAGAGGGAGACACACACACACAGAGAGAGGGAGCTACAGACAGCTCATACACACAGAGGGAGACACACACACACAGAGGGAGACACACACAGTGAGAAACACAGTGAGAGAGACGCACAGTGAGAAACACAGTGAGAGACGCAGTGAGAAACACAGTGAGAGAGAGACGCAGTGAGAAACACAGTGAGAGAGAGACACAGTGAGAAACACAGTGAGAGAAAGACACACAGTGAGAAATACAGTGAGAGAGAGAGACATACAGTGAGAAGCACAGTGAGAGAAAGACACACAGTGAGAAATACAGTGAGAGAGAGAGACATACAGTGAGAAACACAGTGAGAGAAAGACACAGTGAGAAATACAGTGAGAGAGAGAGACATACAGTGAGAAACACAGTGAGAGAGAGAGAGAGAGAGCTTGACAGATATGCAGAGGTGAGAGTCACAGTCACCAGAGGAGCCACCTGGCCAGAGTCCTCTCTTATCTAAACCAGGTGAGAATCTCCCTTTTTATTTCCCACATCAGTCAAAACCCCTTATACTAAGTTGCTCGGTTCGAGGGAGGAAAGGGTTGAGGCAAATCCTGAATTGGTATCTTTTTTGTTATTGTTTGTTGGGGGAGAGGGGAAAAAACATGTTTTTTTTTCTTTCTCTCTAGAGAGAGAGAGAGAGAGAATCCCTAGAAAGGCAGAATTAATAGAAAGTGCCCTTTCTATTGCCCATATCCCCGATTTTTCGAGTGCAGCGGTTCCGCTTAAGTTCCCCTCCTGCAAACAACCTTACCAATGGTAAGTAATAAGATCCAGTACTTTAATAATAATAATAATCTTTGCATTTGGTATAGCGCTTTTCACGTCTTCTAGATGTCCCAAAGCGCTTTGCAGAACACACTGTAAAGTGAATTGACTGTATATTTGTGGGCGAACGCGGCAGCCAATTGCGCACAGCACTGTCCCACAAACAGTCGTAGATTGAAAAATGACCAATTTTATTATTATTTTTGGTTTTTTTGGAGGGATTATTATTAGGCGTGTGGAGTAAGGAAACTTGCCCAAGGTTTCGCCCTGACCTGCCTGGAATTGAACTCAGGTCTCTCGCTTGCAAAGCGAGTGCTCTAACCACTGAGTTACAGGACTTCATTACTTTCTAGTAATGTTAGTATTTCTTTCTCTCTCTCTCTCTGCTGCCTTTCTGAGTGGCTCTCAATGTATTTTTTTCACCTGATCCGAAAACTGTCGACTCATCTGTGGGTGTTGTTTCTCCTCTCTTGGGCAGTGTGGTGTTTGCCTGGGTGTCACACAGATACCCACCCAGGGAGTGGTTCTCAAGGACTAAGAAAAATATTTCTCTAGGCTTTGCCTACTGGCTTTTTGGGGGGGTTTTTTTGCCAAAAAAAATTCAACTCCTGTGTCTCTGGTTCTCACCTCTTAAGTTTCGAGGTTGTAGTTTCAAGGACTTTGAATTCACTTTAATCTAGTCTGATACTGCAATCTGCTACTGGGGATTTATTGTGTTCACTCCACTCCCAACTTTCTGCATTTAATGGTGGGGTGAGAGGGGGTCAAAGGTCCAACAGGTTTGTTGCTATGATGTGGCCTTGTCAATATTTGTTGTTCTACCATGGCATTGGATCCAAAATATCACGCGATTGTGTATGTTAGTGTCATTGGATCACACCTTTTGTGTGTGAGAGAAAGAAAGAGAGTGAGAGAGATAAAGAAGAGTTAAAGCAGCTTTTTTTTCCTCCAAAAGAACAGAAAGAAAATAGAATGGGGGAGGTCCAATTAAATAATGTTAAAATCCTATACATTTGAGTGGATTGAGATACTATTTCATTGCCCTCATCTGCCATCCACCTGATGAGAGCTCAAACATCTGCTTGTCTGGTGACCCACTAGTAACTAGTTGGGGGAGGAGGTAAGTGGCATGATAGGACTAACCAATAAACCAAGTTAAACCATGGCTTAGGGTCCCCAGGTCTGAAGGACCCTGGAGATTGGTGAGTCACAGTCATGGAGACCACCAGGGAGAGAGGCCCAGACAGGGGGTAAAGGCATCCACCATATCTGCGCCCCCACCCCTGACCTTCATAACGCTTCAGAGACGACACAGAGCCATCAAATATATATTGCTAAGCTTTGCCAGTATGAAACATATATTTGCAATAATTTAATATGTTAATAAACCATTTGATTGCTCAGTTGATTATTATTCTGTTGTTATTATGCATTTTACTTATAATGAAGGTTACTTAACATTTGTAGTACTCTACATTTTCTTAAATGAAAATCTGCTGAGAACCTTTGTCACCTTGATTAGAAATGAAGAGTGTCTGTTTTTTCCTTTATCGAATGTCCATGTGTGGTTATGTAGAAGATAGAGATGCGTGAATAGAGGACTTTGAGGGTGCAGGTGTGGTAGTCTCAAATTTTGAAAAAACAGACTATTAGCAGGGAGGGTAACCAACGTCAGTCTTTATTCTCTCACGTAAAGCATAATGTGGGTTAAGAATTGATCCATTGCAGTCAACAGAATGCATAACAAATTAATTAACCTGCTGGGTTGGGAACTATCTATGAAGTAACAACAGCAATTCACATTTATTTAGCACCCTTCACATTTCGAAGCCTTGGAATTGGGTAAACCAGGTGCATCTCTCTGAGGAGTGAGTGCTCACTATATAGCATAAAAAATTAAATTTACATGGATATGTGGAACTCTCAATAGTTTGTGCACGTGTCAGACACACTTCTGACCTGAAAAAAAATACCTTGACCAATGTAGAGACTACAGCGTATGCATGATATTTTATCAGTTTTCTTTCACGCTTTGTAACCAATTGGGCATAATCCACTTTACTTATCAGTTTCCTAGAAATGGCATCTTCTAGAAGTTATTCAAACCAAAGCAGAAAGCAGTCACGTGATCTTACATGTAAGGATGAAGATATGGCAGGTGAGCGGTTTTCATGTGTTCATATCAGACAATGGCAGATATATGCAAATGAGAACAAATTTAGATTTCAAAACAAAATGGCATCCTCTGTAAAAAAAATTATATACTCAAACACATTTTACAAATCGTTTTTAAATGGGTGGATCTAGGACCTAAATGTAAATAAACTACTGTAATTGATTATAATCTCTTGTAGTTAGTTACTCTGGCTTGCTTTGTTTTCACTTCAACATCTCTCCCAGTAAACATTGTATTAATGTGTGTCCAGAGTGTGTCTAGACAGTGTTAAATGGTGTGTCACATAGATTTACATAGAATTATTCTTCCTTTAACTATTCCTTCTACCTGAAATGACGTTCTTAAGTTGTCTACAAATTTGATATCCTTACTGCATGCACAATTTTCCTAACTGATGTTGATTATCTGCTCGTTCTTTTCATGATCCCAGATAATACCCCAAACAACCCAGGAAACACCACTTTGCTTTCAACTTGTCTACAATCCCATTTTATTTGTAGTTCCTGAGACTTTCGTTTCATGATATTATTTCTCTCCTGAAACAAAATCCCAACAGGATTGACTCTGTTCCCCCACCCCGTACTCTCACTATCTTATCTGCTCTTGCTTCTATATTTCTCACCTTTACATTTCTACACCTGCCCGCAACTCAGTGGCTCATTTGATCCTCTTGAAAATTGCTTTGCCTTCACTGTCAACACAACCAACCGTCATCCCCACTAAATTATAAACTACCTCTAATTTCTACAGATCTCATGGTTCATTAGCCTTAATGATAATAATAATAATATTTGATATCATGCCTTATCACATTGTATAAAAGTGCTTCACAGTTTTACTCTAGAGTATAGTGACTGTGTAAGTGTAGGTCTCTCCAGAAACTAAATGTTTTTTGGCAGCTTTATGACATGTAGCCAGAATAAGTTTTGCTTATCTGAAATGTGGAATAGGAAACTAGATCAGGAATTATCATTATAAAGATCACAGAATCATAAATGTTACAACATAGAAACAGGTCATCCAACCCACTAGTTTCTGTTGGTGTCTTTCTCCACACGAATCACCTAGTCTAATCCCATTCTCTTGATTGTTCTCCATAATCTTTAATATTCTTTCTCTTTCAAAGCATCTATTTAATCTCTAGGTATTCATGAATTCCACCTCAATGGTTTGTGTTAGGAAATTCCACCCTTTACTTTATCTTCAGAACAGCTATTCTATTGGGATAAAATGTTCTGCATATTGCAATAATTACAAATGGAAAGTTACAATTTTGGTTTTCATTGTACTGTATAGAATAAATGCCACATTCTATAATTTGGACTGAGTGACTCCTCACCCACCTTAGGAACAAAACTTGTTAAAACCTTTTCTCACTATCTGCCCAATACACCAGCATATTTTGGGCAGCCTTTCCTCATCGGCCAGCAGAGCAGAGGACATGCTTCTGGTAACAGTCAGCCAAACCGCCATCGTTCACAAGATAGAAGTTTCGGTGGGAGTAGCCAGTATCTTGCTGTTTTTCAACAATCTGAATCTTTGCAAAGAATTCAAGGACATTCGAGATTAGATGATCAGAGCCAAGCTCAACAAGGACACAACTTTGGAAACCAGTCTGGTCACAGGGGAGGCCACCAGTCTGGTCACAGGGGAGGCCACCAGTCTGGTCACAGGGGAGGCCACCAGTCTGGTCACAGGGGAGGCCACCAGTCTGGTCACAGGGGAGGCCATCAGACTGGAAATCGAGGTGGTCATCAGTCTGGTCACAGAGGAGGTCATCCATCTGGAATCAGAGGTTATGCAGAAAGAACGCAAGGCAGAGGTGAGTGAAAGGCAGACTGGAGAGCTGAACAGGATCCTTTGGAGGGAGAGGGGAATGGAAAGCCTGGTTTAAAAGAAGCACTTTGTTTTTTGTTACCAAATTGTAATGCAGATAATCCAATTGGCCTAACATCCGTAGTGAGTAAAATTGCTTGGTAGTGCTGAAGGGATGCCATCAATGTTCAGATTAAAAAGCACTGAACTAAGGAATGGTGAGGGTGGATTTTGAAGCATTGTCACCTGTCCTCACATGACGGAATTCTGTATACAAATGCCATAAAACTAGAGATTAGGACTATGCATTCCATGTAACATATTAGGATTTTGGTAAAGATTGGAGTGTGAGTGTTTTTATAGAAGTATTAGTAAGCTAATTGTGAATGAACAGCAAGCTGGATTGATGATAGAAAACAAAGGCAAAATGACAAGATCAGTTTGTTTAAGAAGGCCCTTTGGCCAATTTTGATGTTATCCTGCCTTGTTGCATTCTGATCTACCTACTATTAACTAAACATTTGAGGGATCTCTACCGAACCTTACATTTGCAATAGACATTTCAATGCTATTTTCAAAGAACTTGAACTAATTTTACCTGTTTAATTGTTATACCGTTTGAGGTTTGGTACATGTTGAGCCCATTTTGAAGATAAGGTGGAAGATGGCATCTGCAGTATTACTTTTGCTCCAAAGCGGATCTTGTGTCTTGCAGTTATTTGATGAGCAATCATCCAGCAAGTTGTTATTTATTAACAGTATGCTTTTTGAGAAAGTTCAACTTTTAATTTTAAATTTCAGGACAGTGTCAGAAACGTGGCCAAAAAGGAGAACCCCACCTGGGTTTACAAAGCCATCAGGTGTTTTACAATACTCAATTTCCTCCAACTACACATGTACACTCCGGAAATCCCAGGCTCCATAGTAGCTTTACTGATCTGCTCAGCCTCTCAAGAGGCAGTTTGGAGAATGAGACACAAAGGCACCACCAAGAACGAGGTGAGCAATGAAGACTTTATTATAATAATAACCCTTCAAAGCACTTCACAGAATATACTGTAAAGTGAATTGACTATATTTTGTGGGCGAAATGCAGCAGCCAATTGCGCACAACAGTGTCCCACAAACAGTCGTAACTCTGGAATAACTCTGAAATTTATTTCTCCCCCCTCCCTCACCATCACTCTCCTTTCAAAGAAGTACAAGATCATTTACTCACACAGTTAAGCTTTACCCTCCTTTATGGAGCTGATTTCTGGTCTGAATATTTTTGAAGTCTTGTATTTTTTAAAAATATTGTTGCATGATGAAATTATAGAGATGGGAAGGGAAACATTGGTAACAAAGTTAATTTTAAACAACAGAAGAAATTCAGCAGAGAACATTCATTTCCAAAATGTATGCTGTCATGTTTTCTTCCAAAAGCATTGTACTTCTGTGTTTTAATGTCCTTGATTGCTGCTTGTTTGCGAAATAGGAAGATGGTGAAATAACTCTTAAACAACTTATTTTTCTGCCTCTCTAGCCCGAGCCGCCTATGAAGGCTCTACTTTAGTAAATGATCCATGCCTTTTTCTCTACAGGCTTTGCTGACTATTTTGTAATTGCTCTATAGCGTGCCAGCTTTTGTTTTCCTCCACACTTTTCTGTCCTTTAGGAATTGCAACCAGACATTTTTGTTTGTCGGCAATTAACATTTGTAAAATGCAAGTTACAAATAGCACTGCTTAGCGAATATGTTAATATTAGTCTGCAATGACTAAAATAATAATAATCCTTGCATTTGATATAGCGCCTTATCACGTCTTAGAGATGTCTCAAAGCGCTTCACAGAATGTACTGTAAAGTATAGTGACAGCAGTGTCCCACAAACAGTTGTGGATTGAGTGACCAATTTTTTTTTTGGAAGGAATTATTACCCCCTGAAAAGCGATCTGCCAATCGACTAACAACCGGGTTCCAACTTACTGCTAGGTAAACAGAAGTGTGTGGAGACTTGCTCATCATTTGGCCCTACCGGGAATTGAACCCTGGTCTTGCGCTTGCGAGGTCAGCACTCTAACAGCTGAGCTACAGGACTACACTCATTTTTTTTTAATGTATATGTTTTTTAACCCTCCTCCCACACCCCCCGTACAATTCTAGGCAGGCAGCCCTACCGCCAAGCACTGGGTAGTGCCAATACTGATGGTGACCAAGAAAATTCTTCAAAGCAACGCAGCAGAAGCCAGGTCTGTGAAAAACCAGAGCTAAATGACAACCGTAAAACCAAGAGGGAAAATAAACGTGGTCAATCTGTTCCACGCGTCCCACGGCGACTAGGCAAAGGGGCTCTGCTGGAGCTGTCAGGAAAGAATCCTTCAGACATTGTAATGAAGTTAGCTGCTCCAGGGAGTGGTCTCAAGGAATTCTTAGACCAGAATGAAATCAACAACGACTCAATTGTGCTGCTCCTGGAAATTTTCATGACCGCAATTAAATGCAGATCTAACAGGCAGAATTTACAATATCTGCTCGGTACGGTCAAAGATTCTCCCTTTGTGAAAATCACTTTGCCTAGGTTCATTGTTAGCATTCACACAGAGGTGACTATAGAAAAACACTTGGAAAGGTTCAAACATCTTGCTTACATTCTAAAGCTGCTCACTGAGATAATTAGCGTCTACCCAAAAAGTGGATTTATGGAAGTGTCATTACTGGCCACTTTGGTGGAATCAGCTATGAACCACCAGGAGTCCTTTGGAATACCCATTGATGTAGAAACTAAGAAGAGTTTAGAAAACCTTCAGCAAATGGTCCAGCTTTTACAAGAGAAAAAACGAGAAAAGGCATTGAATTCAGATAACTACAACTTTTTCACAGACCCTGCAATAGAAGACTTCAGACTAATTTCAATATATCCAACTTATGAGGACATCCATTTGATTGAGAAGCCCTTTGTGAGGCCAAATATCGTCACTGGAAAATATCCTGACGTAGTCACATACCTCGACACACATTTTCGCCTGCTCCGAGAAGACTTTGTTCGCCCGTTGAGAGAAGGGATTTCTGAACTATTAGCATACGAAGATAAAGACCTGAAGAAGAGACAGATTAATGACATCCGAATTTATTTTGATGCACAAATATCTGCACCATTGTGCACACAAAATGGTATCTTGTACCAAGTTCATTTTAACATGAAGTTGCTAAAGTCCATTAAATGGGAAAACTCCAAGCGCTTATTGTATGGGTCACTCGTTTGCCTTTCCAAAGATCGTTTTAAAAATATGTTGTTTGCAACTGTGGCGAACCGAAATATTGAAGAATTGAAAAAGGGTTTGATCACCATTATATTCACTGAAGACAGTCGCTTGAAGTTGGCTGATGTTAAGCCAGGAGACTTGTTTCTAATGGTTGAAACAAGCGCGTACTTTGAAGCCTACCGACACGTCCTGGAAGGTCTTAAAGAGATTGAAGCTGATGATTTTCCTATGCAAAAATACATTGTCCAATGCCACCCTGAGGTATCAGAACCAGAGTACATAAAACATGGATCTTTTACCTACACGCTCCAGCCTTTGATTGAAGAACAAGCCCTCAAAGACTTGAGAAGGCCTCATAATGCCATTTCCAGTGGTGATGGCCTGCTGGATTATGGGATGAGGTTGCACGAGCCCCCAAACATCTTGATGAAAAATTTGCTTGATTTCACAAAGTGGCCTTCGAAGGAGGAATTAACCTTTGATGCATCGCAAATGCGTGCAGTACAATTGGCTTTAACCAAAGAGCTTGCCATTATCCAAGGTCCCCCAGGAACAGGTAAAATGCGTTTCATTAAGTCATTTGAAGTGAATGCTGTTTTACGCTGTACCCAGCAGGCTGATATTTTATACCTTCTTGCTAAATATACCGGAAAGTTATAGTTAGACTGTAGCCCCATATTAGTTATATCAAGACACTCCTGTGTGATGTAGTGTGCCTATTAAAAACCTAATATTCTATGTCCCAATGTCTTTTTATTACACTAATAATAATACTCATATTTGGTGTCGGGGGAAAAAGATCCAAAGCGCTTAACAGGATTTACTGTGCAGTGCAGTGACTGTGTGTTTTGTTGGCGAACACAGCAGCAAGTTGCACACAGCAATGTTTTACACAGGGATGTTTAATGTCCACCTGAACAGGCAAACAGAGTCTTGAATTAACGACTCATACGAAGGATGGCACCTCCATCAATTTAGTGCCCTCTCCCCCAGGCACTGCATTAGTCTCATCTATGAGTTCCAAATCCCGACATGGGATTTGAACTCACAACTTTCTGACTCTGAGCTGAGAGTACTACCAATAGTTGTTCTTACAGTGTTATTAGAGTGAGGTGCTCCATGCCATTCCATTACAGATAGGAAGATACTTTCTAATAACTGTCTGCTATAAATTCAGATGTTAATCGGCAAACTTACTGAAACAGCAGTCTATCTCTGTTGGAAATGTGAAAAAAAATGTTTTACTACAATTTTACTATCTGTTCTATTTATTATTTTCCTTTTGTCCTCTTTAATGTTTCAAATTTATAGGCAAGACTTACTTGGGACTGAAAGTTGTCAAGACTCTTCTAGCTAATATTAATGTTTGGCAGGCTACTGGTGCTGCTCCTATTCTTGTGGTTTGCTACACAAATCATGCATTAGACCAGTTTATGGAAGGTAAGGACTTTAAAATTCTATACAGGTAATTGATGACGAAAGCTTGATTTCTGTTTTTTTGTAGAATGGCTACCTTGCAGATTACAAAAGTTATGACACTGACACAAAAATATATTAGCCTTGGAGGGGGTGGAGCGCAGGTTCACCAGAATGTTACCAGGCCAAAAAGGGTTAAGTTATGAGGAAAGGCTGCGTAAACGTAGTTTTCTTCCCTCGAGTTTAGAAGATTGAGGGGTGATTTGATAGAGGTTTTCAGGATGATTAAGAGATTTGATAAGGTAGATGCAGAAAAGCTATTTCCTATGTTGGGGGAATGCAAGACAAGGGGGCATAGTCTTAAAATTAGAACCAGACCATTTAAGAGTGAAATTAGGAAGCATTTTTTCACTTAAAGGGTGGTAGAAATATGGAACTCTCTCCCCCAAAAGGTCATGGATGCTGGATCCATCCACACCTTCAAGAAAGAGATTGACAGATTTTTGGTAGGTCGGGGTATCAAGGGATACAGGGAGAAAGCGGGAAATTGGATTTGAAATTCTAGTAAAGATATAGATCAGCCATGATCTAATTAAATGGTGGAACAGGCTCAACGGGCTGAATGGCCTACTCCTGTTCCTATGTTCAGTGCGGGTATAGTCATAGATTCAACTAATTATCAGGTACTCTCATTTAGGATATTCTGAGACTGCTGCTTTTCTCCTCTTCCAATGCCCCCCCTCCCATCCCCTCCCCTCCCGTGCTTTATCTAAAATGTTTAGACTCATTCAGAAATGTTTGACTTAATTAAATTATCTTTATTTACTCTCATGGGAAAGGCAACAAAATAAATAAAGGTAAGTTTTAATGTAAATAAATGAATGAAGGAGGGAACATGTTCATATACATTAACTGTTTGAAGGACCTTCATTCATATAGGTTGTTGTTCATCCTGATATTTTTCTTATCTAGTCAGTTTTAGGAATTTACTGAGTTGGGTCATATCAGTGGAGCCTATATTTAGGGCACAGACTTGGATAACTTCCAGCCTTGATCCTCGCTTTTAAAAATATTTATTTTGACTTGATCATGCAATTATTTTTTTATTACCCCGCCCTCCCCCACCCCTTGTCGTTTATGGTATTATTGGAAAGATTTTGATGAATAAGTTATTCTGACTAACCCCCTCTGTGCTATTTATTTTTGTTTTAGGGATTCATAAGTTTCTGAAAACTGACTTGATCAGAGTGGGTGGAAGAAGCACCAGTGAAATAATATCAAAGTTTTCACTTAAGGAGATCCGGAAGTGTAAAAACTTCAGGAAGAGTCAGCCAGGTCACCTGAGAGCCATGTATGCTTCGGTGAGCATACTGTTAGAATAATAATAATCTTTGCATTTGATATAGCTCCTTATCACATCATTGAGATGTCTCAAAGCGCTTCACAGAATAGACTGTAAAAGGAATTGACTATATATTTTGTGTTGTGATGTGCTGTTTGAGAATTGGTTATCTCAAATCAAGATTTTATGTTTCTATGAATGTATCCAGACAGACATACAAGACACCCGTGGCTCAGTTGATAGCACATTGTCTCTTTAGTCAGACGGCTGTAGGTTCAAGGTCATTGGTGGTGCTTTGATCTCACACATCCAGGTTGAAACTCCAATGCAGTGCTGGTGGGAGAGGGGGCATGGCTGAAGGTGCCATGCTTTGGATGAGAATTTAAGCCAAGGTCTCGTCTCCCTGTTCATATGGACTTTAAGGATCGCTTAGCCCTATTCAAAAAGAGAAGGGAGTTTCTACCCGCGTTCTGGCCAAAACTCCCCAAATAAAACTGTTCATTCACATCATGGCTATTGGGGACGTTGCTGTGTGCAAAATTAGCTGCCGCATTCCCCCACAAAACACACACTTTATATCCTGTGAAGTGCTTTGGACCACCCTCCCGATGTGAAAGACGCTAGACCAAATGTAACAATCATTATTTATTATAATGAATTCTCCCATTAAAACCAAGTTTCCCTAATCTGCCTGTACTGTACGTACATTCTATTATATCATTATAGCCACGAGGGCTATAAAAAACATTCATACCAATGTTTAACAACCCTTCCTATTCTAGCTGATAATATTCAAATATAACCTTCCTTTCAACCACTATGATTGGTGGTTTTAATAATGTTTCTCTTCCTCCTTTCCTGTTTTCCCTGTCCCTTCTAAGATCCTCTATCCTGGTATACTCCACTCCTAATTTTGACTGAGCTGTACCCATGTCTCTGTAATCACTATCATATTGCACCGCAAGCTTATTTGAGTTTCTATTTCTCCCACTTTACTTGTAATATTCCTAGTGTTTGTGTAAAGGCAAGTAGCTTGTCTGCTGTTTTGACCGTTTAATTTCGCCCACCTCTCTTAGTTCCCCGTGTCTTTTTTCATCTTTACAAAACCTTTTACCCATTTTCCCCAAAGCTTGTTTACTTCTCTCTCTGTCTTTCTTCCCTTCCTCTGCCCTACCATGTTAGTTTAAATGTTTTCCCTCACTTTGACTAACATTTTGATATGGCAAGGTGCTGTAAAGATGCAAATTCTTTCTCATTCTCTCATTTTAACATTATTTCTTTTGAAACTGAGCAGCTGACTCAGGAAAAATACGACTTCCAGGAACGAATTGAAATTTCGACCGCCCAGTTTGAAACTAGTGCACAAGCAATCCTCCATCTAATCATTTTGCAGGAATACATTGCTCCACATCATTTGGAACAGTTGAAAAAGGTAGGTCTGCAAGGCAGTCTTTACTTGTCTAAATGAAACCGTTGTTCTCTGTTAAGTATTAAAGGATTGAGAAGGAGGTTCACCTGGTCTTCTGCATCCTCTCAACAACTTAAACAGATACTTGGAAGTAAGGGTATTGAGGGATGTGGGGAAATGGGATGAAAACATCTGCTAAGATCTAATCAACTAGAACAGGTTCAATGAAATGAATAGACTGTTTGTTTCTAAGGCTGGAAAAGTGAGCTTGTGTTTCAAAAAAGCTACAGTGACCTCAAATTTGGGTACCTGGGTTAAGAGTCCAGTGTTCCAATGATACGGGATTGCCTTAAAGTTACAACCTTTAAAACAATGGGCAATTGAGCTTTTTTGCTTTATTTTATGTGAATTTTCCCTTGCGAAGGAGTTTTGCTTAGCATGCTGCCCTTTCAGCTCTGATCTATGTTTGATATGAATCTTCCTGCCAGATGTAAATCAACCTGTACAAAATGAATAATGATAAGATTACTGTTTGCAGTAATTTAGCAACTCTATTCAGAGAGGAGAATGCCTGACCCAAGAGCAGGAATCGTCACACTTCTGAGTCTAGGGTAGAGGCAATTGTTTTAATCGCTGTGATTACTATTTTAGGATCTAAAAAAATTCTATTATTCCTCGAAACATAATGGGTGTGAAAACAATAGCAGCAATGTACATGAAGTTGTGGGTTTTAGAGTTTCAAGTCCTGGATGACATGTGCCATGTCCATACCCTCTCACAGAGTCCAGCACATGTGCCAGCTGTAGCCAAGGGGAAACAACAACAACTTCCACGTTTTCAGCGCCCTTCACACAGAGTAGCATCTCAGAGCGCTTAACAATAGCGGAGCCTGACTCCGAGCCGGGGGGAGGTGACCGTAAGCACAGTCAAAAAGGAAGGTTTTCAGGGGGGCAAGGCGGAGGGATTGAGGGAGCGTGTTCCAGAGTTTCGGGGCGTAATGGCTGAATGTGCGACCTCCATTGGTGGAGCGGAGAGTGCGAGGGATGAGCAGGAGGTTGGAGAGGTAGGAAGGTGCCAGGGAGCGAGGGGATTTGAAACGAAAGATGAGCAGCTAGCCTGGTCTCGGATCTCTGCCAGTGTTACTCTGAACCGATAAGAAATGCATGAGCATCCCAAGAATAGCTTGTCTCTTCCCCACCCTGGACTCTGAGCAGCACAATTGAATTAATACTTGATTGGTATGGAGTAGAATTGTGTACAACCACTACTTGGCACCTTAGTGAGCATCACCCAACTCGGACAGTCTGGTAATTATAGTATCAAAATCATTATTTAAGGACTGTTCTATTGCTGAACTCATAAAGGGATGAAGTAATCTTTTTTGAAATGTAAACCTTGTTAATACCGTTGCTTTTTGTAAAAAAAAAGCTTAATCTTGATTGAGGAAAAGGAAATAGTTCAAATTTGTTGTTTATTGATTGTATAATTTTAGTTGTTGTTTATCTGTCTGCCGTTAAGTCCTGAACGACATTATCACTATTCATGGCACCTCACCGAGCCAATACAAAACCTCAGTGTCCTTTTCGACCCCCAGCTATTCTTCAACCCTCACATTCGTGCCGTGACTCGTTCCACCTTTCCACACCTCCGCATCATTGCCCACCTCCTCGACTGCCTCTCACCGCAGGCCGCCGAGACCCTGATCCATTCTTTCATCATGTCCCAGCTTGACTACGCCAACTGCTTGCTCACTAAACTTTCCAACTCTTCCCTCCGCAAGCTGCCGGTTATTCAGAACTCTGCAGCTCGTGTCCTTTCCCACACCCGGCTCCGCGAACCAATCACCCCCGTCTTGATCAGCTTCTCTGGAATCCCATCTCTCAGAGAATCGAGTACAAATCCCTCATTCTCTCCTTCAAAGCCCTCCACAATCTTGCTCCTCCATACCTCTCCAACTTCATAACCCCGTATCATCCTGACCGCTCCCTACGATCAGCGACACCGACCTGCTTCAGGTCCCTCGCACTTCCTTCCCCAACATTGGTGGTCAGGCATTCAGGATCTCTGCCCCCACACTCTGGAACTCTTATCCTGCAATACTTCCGCCTCACCCCCTCCCTTTCCTCCTTCAAGAACCGTCTAAAGATCTTCCTCTTCGACCTGGCCTTTTTGCAAGCAAAAAGGCTTATGTCCATACTTGATACTATTTTTAACAATATGCAAAGAAATGTCTTGTTTGTATTCTATCTGTGTAACTTTACTTGAATTATTTTAGTGAAACTTAAATCCCCAAAACGCAAGGATTATTAAGTGAACACTGTTTATATTGCTAGATGTCTTCTGAAGTTAAGGTTAAATCAACTGTTATACTGGAGTGGTTGGGAATTGGATCTGTGATCATTCCTGAAGAAGCAGCAGAAGTGGACTTGATTGACTTGACAGACTCAACCACTACAGATGGGGATAATGGTAAGAGAATGTGTAACCATTTTTCTCAAAATTTTGTTTAGATCTACAATTTGAGTATTTTTATTTACATGACAGACTGGCTCTCGCCTTTGACTCAGATGTTTGTGGGTTCAAGCCCCATGTTGGGACTTTGAGCTCATCGGCTGATGCTACAGTGCAATGCTGGAGGAGCACTGTGTTCCCAGATGAGACATTAAACAGAGGTCATGTTTCCTGTTCACGTGAATGTTAAAGATTCCGCATCCGTTCTCCTCTTAATTCTTATGTGTAATTTTATGTGGTGTTATTTAGATGACACAATTTGAATTTGGAAGCCGATTGTTTTGTGCAGTGAGTTAAAAACTTAAATGTTCAAGCAAGTTCAGTGATTTAAGTGTAGGGAAAATGTGGTACAATATTGTCAGAAGCTTTGAACCCTGAAACATAATCTGTCCATGAGATTTGAACTCCCAAGAATATCCAATCTATTGCTGAATTTAACAGGTAAAGTCACAAAGACAATTAGGAACCAAGAGTGAGTGGGCATTCTTGTACTTTTAGGCATCTGATGAGCCTTTGCTGATGAACTCTCTCCCCAACCCATCTGCCCCACTCCTGCTGTGAGCAAGAATGCTTACTTTGGTTTGTTCGAGGGTAGAATTATTTGCACGTGAAAGTCTGAGATTCCACACATCGGTCAAAATTTGTGACTATCAGCCAGTGCTGTGTTTAAAAAAAAATTTTGTGGACTTTGTAAAAAGTATTGGAACATGTTGCAACAGGTACAAGGTTTGAAAATGTCGCAAAGGGTTTCATGACAATAGATAGATGCGGTTTCTGTAGGACCCATTTTATTAATTACGTAACTGATGTCATGTCAAAAAAAGCAGCAGATATTAAATCGGGACCCATCTCAAAACCCTCCTCTTCGCCCGCGCCTTCGGTCACCTTCCATGCCCTCCATCCCTCCTGATCCCAACCCCCTGCTCGGGTCCTTAACTCTGTCTGTCTAGCACCTTGGGACGTCCTCCCGATGTGAAAGGCAGTTTACAAATTGAATTTGTTGTTGTTAAATGTTAACAAAATAGTAAACTGATTCCCAAGGATTGTCGATTTATTATTTGATTCTCTTAAATTTTCAAACGCTTTATATGATTTTCACCCAATGTTTTCTTTCAAAAAATCTTAATGCAATGGCTAAAGAGGAAGACAAAAATGAAGAGGATGGTGATGATGAACTGATCCAAGTTGCTGGGGAAGCAGAAATATTGCAAGCTGAGAGAATGATAGACGATGATGACCTGCTGAATGAAATACAACGAGCTCAGGCCAGGGTGGTTGCCATTCAAAAACGCTTTCAGACGTATGCACTTGAAGACCAAACTGAAACAGAGACCGCAGACCCTGATGTCTGGCAGGTGCTGTATTAAATACAGTTCAAAATATTTATTCTGCCTACAAGTTATTCTATGTCTTTCCTATTCTGGGAACAAGTTTATGAACCTTCTGGACCTTGTTGTCTTTATAATAATCCTTGCATTTGATATAGCGCTTTTCACGTCGGGAGGACGTCCCAAAGCGCTTCACAGATCACACTGTAAAGTGAATTGACTGTATATTTGTGGGCGAACGCGGCAGCCAATTGCGCACAGCAATGTCCCACAAACAGTCGTAGATTGAAAATGACCAATTTATTATTGTTTTTGGTTTTGGAGGATTATTATTAGGCTCTGTGTGGAGTAAGGAAACTTGCCCAAGGTTTCGCCCTCTGCCTGGAATTGAACTCAGGTCTCTCGCTTGCAAAGCGAGTGCTCTAACCACTGAGCTACAGGACTTTAATCTGAAACAGAATTCTGCTATCGCCTCCAATAAACAATCAGCCATTCTTTAACTCCCTAAAAAGCCTGTTAATGCATATATTGATACTACTCCCATATTCTTCCTTTCTGCACTTTCGATCAGCCTCTTTCTCTCTCCATCCCCCCACCCACCCTTCTTGGCTTTGTCAGCTCCCCCTCCCACAGTTCGATCACCCAGTGAGTTCTGTGAAATGCTTTAAGGCATCCTCCCACATTAAAGGCACTATATAAATAAATGTAACATTGTTTAGTGTTCTGTACACAGGTGCCCAAAAATATGAAGAAAAGGATGAAAGCTATGGCAAAGAGGGAGTTGCAACAATCAGACTTCATGTCAGAGGATGAAGCCGAGCAGATCTTGAACATTTGGCAGCTTAAGCTCCACCATCGCTGGCGACTGTACAGGTTGGATTTCTATCAGCAGTTTTCTTAATTAATTTTGCGTTGTAGCTTGCTGAGAGAACGAGGTTGGGGGGGAAAAAGGCATTGAAACAGGATAACGGCAGACCAGACAGTACCTCAGACTGGATTAAACACCTCTGGATGTAATGTGTTTCGTCTGCAAGGAATCCCATTCATGTTCCTTCAAGTTTAGAATAATTTGAGTAATTTAGTCATTTGTTTCTGAATTTAGATGACCAGTAATGGTGTATCCAGCTCCTGTTGTATAGATAATTAGTACAGGGTGAGATTGAGAGGATTCTTTTACACCGAGAGTTGTTAGGATGTGGATTACCTTGCCAGGTACATGATCAAGACAGGATCTGTATTAGTTTACAACAGGGAACTAGATGGATTAAAAAATAATTTGTTTGCAGGGATATGGGGAAAAGGGCAGATGAATGGGACTGAATAGATTGCTCTTTCAAAGAGCCAGCACAGGCATGACGGGCCGAATGGCCTTTTTCTATGTTGTAAATTTGTGTGATTCATTTAGACTCAAAGTTTGTCTTAAAGTTGTCTTAATTGTATAGAATAGCAGAAAATATTGAGTTTCTGTCTTAATTTTATAGACACTTTTCCGTAGTTCTATCTTAATTATCCCAGCGCCTTGGGGATGTCCTTCCGACGTGAAAGGCCCTTTACAAATGTAATTATGTTGTTGTTAAAAAGTACTGGCTTTTGTTTAAGAAATTCCACAATTCTGTGCTATTTTATGAGAAAATGGTCTTATTGGGGAATGTCAGGCCTCTGATATCCTTCTGGTTCTCTAATACCTTCTTCTGTCAGTATTCTGTCAATTTAAAATGGGTTGTAAATTTCTGTTGGTATAGTTAGTGTGCATATCCACTCTCCTGCATAAGCAGTGTAATATTGAATATGGATCTTAAGTTCCGAGCATCATTGCTCCCAACATCCTAGCAGAACAACTTCAAATCCTTATTGCGATCATCAAATCCTAAATCTAGTCCAGACTTTGATTGACCTGTTGTGCATTGTGTTTTTTCAGATTTCCAGTATTCTCTGATTTGTTTTTCCTTTCCACAAATTTGTTTGGAATTGTATTGAGGCTAAGGACGCTCCCAATTTTAATTGGAGAACATTCGTTCTGTGGTACATTTAGTTCCAGTTACTGATTTGGGGGCAAAGTACCAGAGGGGGATGAGTTTCAAAGGGGATGTGCTTCAAATAGTGCCTTTATCTCACAGCTTTGGCACGAGGAATTCCCTTTGTAATGTTGTGTGATCGTGTGGTTTTATAATAATACGAATAAATAATAATAATAATATTTATTCCAGATTGTGGTTGTCAAAATACCAAAAAGACATCAGGTTTAAAATATTGGAGTATGAAAATGAGTACCAGGGTGTGATCAATCGCCTGGCTGAACTGAGGAATCAAGAGGATATGAACCTTCTGAGACAGGCCAAAGTAGTGGGGATGACTACAACAGGTACACAATTGTTTACAGCTATGGCTTCCCCTTTCTGTTTGCTTTCACAAGCACATGTAAAGTGCCAGCGGGAATCAGCTGCCAAGTCTAGTACTTAACAGCATGATCCTCAAAATGCATTGTTAGTATTTCCTGTCCATATCAGGCATTCCTTCCGNCCCGCCCCCACCCCACCATCTTATTTAATGTTTGCACTCTCCATTACACACTTGTGTTCAAATCTCTTCACTCTCTGGCACCTCCCTACCTCTTCAACCTCCTCATTCCCCAATCCACCACCTGGTGCCTCCGCTCGACTGGTACCGGCCTCCTGCTTGTCCCTCGCACCCTCCGCCCCACCATCGGAGGTCACGTTTTCAGCTACTACGCCCCCAAAACTCTTGAACACTCTCCTTTAATCTCTCCGCCTTGCCCCCTCTCCTTTTTCAAGTCCCGCCTGAAAATCTACTTTTTCGACCGTGCTTATGGCCACCTTCACCCCAGCTTGGAGTCGGGCTCCGCCAATGTTAAGAGCTCTGAGACAATACCCTGCATAGAGAGCGCTATATAAGTGCAAATTATTGTTGTATTACATCGTCTCCTGCACAAAGCTCCTCTTCTCACATGTTTCATGCTATCTTGGGAAGTGCTGGTATTTGATGGTATTCATCTCATGACATATTTTAGCTGGCTCCAAATCACTTTTTTTTAAAAAAAACAATTGGCTTTTTGTTTTAGGTGCAGCGAAATACAGGCGTGTTTTGCATGACCTTCGGCCTAAAATTGTCATTGTTGAAGAAGCTGCCGAAGTCCTGGAAGCTCATATAGTAACCACACTGACTTCTGCCTGTGAACACCTCATTTTAATAGGGGACCATCAGCAGGTAGGTTTTGTTGAAGCGAAATTTGAGCACTGCTCTTAGAGTATGCGTGTGTGTGGAGTGAGAGGATACAGGAGGCACTCCCATTTGCCTTCTTTCACAAACATCATAATTCCTTCATTTGACATAAGCCTTTAAAAATAATACACATAATCCTTGCATTTGAAATAGCACCTTATCACGTCGTTGACAGTTCTCAAAGCACTTCACAGAATATAGTGTAAAGTGTATATTTTGCGGGTAAAATGCAGTAGCTAATTGGACTAAGCAATTTCCCACAAGCAGTCATGGATTGATTGACCAAATCATTTATTTATTTATTTTGATTTGATTTTTTTCCCACATCAAAACGTTTCAAAATGCTTCAATTTATTTTTGTAATGTGTAATAGCTGTGTATTTGGAAGCAGAAGTTCAGACGTCTCAGGGACACAGACCTTGTTGCGGCTAAAAAGAACTGGGACCTTATCCGAGGACTCTAGGCCTGACTAGATTTATTCCTTTCTCTGGGCCTAATTCCTGCTTCGTAGCAGTACAATTGAGATCCAAAGCTACGTGCAAAATTACTGTGGACCTGCATGCTGCCACCTAATAGCCCAGAACATTCAAGCTCAGCCCATTGCAGCATCACATTGCCTTACAATGGGTGGCTAATGTTTCTTTTTCAATTTCAGCTTCGTCCAAGTGCAACAGTTTACGAACTTGCTAAGCACTTCAATTTGGAAGTTTCCTTGTTTGAGCGACTCATCAATATGAACGTTCAGTATGTCCGATTGGATTACCAGGTGAGTGACAGTTAACGTTGTAAATGTAAGCCATAGTGCTAATACTCTTGAGAATTCAACTCTGTGCTTCACTTGTATCTTTGCCCTTTGTTTACCTCTAGTAAAAAAAAACACTCTAGTTTTTCTCCCTTCCCAACTATGTATTTAAAGAACGACAACACTCCTTTGTTTTTGAGTATCCTTGCCCTATGAAGCCCTCTCAACATGTGGATATCAGGAGAAAGTGAACCTGGTTTTCATCTGTTATTGTCCCAGGAAGTTTGGATGTGGCTGGGATTTATTACAGAAACACTGAAACTCAGGTCCATGGGAGATGCAACAGTTCAAATTGCAACACTTGACCTGCTGCTTGCCGGGGTGGGTGGGGAGAAGCATTCATTGTAAGGAAACCATATCATGTTTACAACACAGAAGGAGGATATTTGGTCCATTATGTCTGTACTTGTGCCAGATCATTATCTCTTACTAAAGCTCTGAATTCCCTTCATAGCATTCAAATTATAGACTAGAAAGCCAAATATTGCCCTTGACTGTAATGTTACACTTTGAAGTTTCACCTCCCCACCTCCGATACATAAAACTGCATTGAGTACAGATTGTACATCTGTATGATTGATGGAAAGGAATATTTAATCAGAAGTATTTTTCAGGTTTAAAATGTAAGCTTTAAGTTAGACTAAAGAATGTGTTTCCCTGCAAAAGAAGCTGACGGTACATCAAACCAGTTAAGTAATGGAGGATTCAAGGATAGGTACAGTCTATTTCAAGAATACAAGAATACAATGGTTCCTGTACTGCTGGGAACAAGGCACGAGAATGCTTGATGTGAATGAAATACAGAGTTGAATAGCGAAGGTGCACAAATATTCTGGATTTTTGTTTCATAACATTTCATTATGGGATTTAAGGAATATTTATACAGTACCTTCTCTCAAGCTGAGGTGACTTTGGGTAGGTTTTGCATGGTCTCTGGAAGGACTGAGATCTATGAACTGAATGGCCTTTTCTCATTCCTTGCTTTTTTTTTAAAAAAACAACATTGTTGTCTTTTTAAAGCTAAGTGTTTTGTTTTCCGAGATTGAGTTGAAGTTTAGGCTCCTTTCTGTATGCAACCAAATCTTAGCTTTGTACTTGGCTCTGGGCATATTTTCTACAATGCACATAGTGTGTTCTGCAAGAATCTCATTAAAATATTTTCCCCTCCTGATACAGCACCGAATGCGCCCAGAAATCGCAGAGCTGCTAACACCACACATCTATGACAAGTTGGAAAACCACGAGTCAGTGAGGCTGTACGAGAATATCAAGGTAATTTTATTTTTAACTTGTTTTCCTTCCCCTCCCTCCCTGACCCCAGCTCAGGGCTGAAATGCTGTACACTATCAAGCGCCTTGGGACGTCCTCCCAACGTGAAAGGTCCTATACAAATGCAATCTTGTTGTTGTTAGCACTTGGTTTCTTCCTATAGATATTTAAATCTGATGTGTGTACACCTCCTGCATCATATCTACACCTGTTGATAATAATGTAAGAAGTCACCCTCGGGTTTCTTTTCACTGTGGGGAGCTAATGGAATGGGGAGACAATTCCTGCCTTTTAAAAAATCAGCTTCCCCTCCAGCAGAGCTAAATTGTGAGAGCGGGTTTAAGTATGATGTTGAGTTATTGAGGTTGAAAAAGTGTTTAAGCGGCAAAACTGGCACTTTGTGCCATGAAAGTCCTAATATGAAGTGCAGGGAATCCTTTAGGTCACGCTGAACCGAGATCTCATTTGAGCCACGATCTCGCATGTCAGAGTGACACACAGTAAAGATTCTCTGCCGATTATTGAGTTAAATCACGAGACATCAGTAATATCGTCTTAGTGTTCAAGCAACAGCAACAACTTGCATTTGTATAACGCCCTTCACACCGGATGGCATCTCGGAGCATTTAGGCACTCTTTAACCCATTATTATTATATTTCGCCCACAAAATTCCTAGTATGTTCTGTGAAGCTTTTGAGACGTCTCAGTGCCATGATAAGGGGCTATATGAAATCAAGGGATTATTATTATCAATTTTTATAACGGTCGGCTAATAAGTTGCTCCATTTTAAGCTTGGTTTAGTTTATTTAGGATCGATGTCTAGGCTGAGAAAGATAAACTTCAATTTTGGGACAGTGTTAATGCAAGACAGATGGTTGAATGTTTCACTTGCATGTAAGCTTATTCTTCAGTGGTTTTGCTAACGTCGAGCACCTCATGTTAAAAGTACTCATTTGTTTGGTTTTATATCAGGGAGTCTCCACCAACCTCTATTTCATTGAACACCTGCAACATGAAGATGAGATCCGGGAAGGAAAGAGTTTTCAGAATTCCCATGAGGCATCGTTTGTGGAGTCGCTCTGCCATTATTTCATCCAGCAAGAATACGACCCATCCCAGATAACTGTCCTCACCACCTACTCGGGGCAGTTGTTTTGCTTGAGGAAAAAAATGCCTAAGAGCAAATTTAATGGTGTCCGAGTCTGTGTGGTTGACAAGTACCAAGGGGAAGAGAACGATATTGTAATCCTTTCGCTTGTCCGGAGTAATTTCGAGGGCAGGGCAGGCTTTCTGAAGATAGCGAATCGTATCTGTGTAGCTTTATCCAGAGCAAAGAAAGGTTTGTTCTGCATCGGTAACATGACCATGTTAGCAAAGGTCCCGCTGTGGGGTAAAATAGTCGACACACTCCGCAGAAATGGCCGAGTGGGTCCGGCCCTCAAGTTGTGCTGCCAAAATCATCCGAAAACCATCAGCTTGGTATCCACTGCTGTGGACTTTGACCAAGTTCCCGAGGGGGGATGCAAGCAACCCTGTGACTTCCGACTTGACTGCGGCCACGTGTGCACTCGTGTTTGCCACCCTTACGATATGGAGCACAAAACGTACAAGTGTAACAGAGAATGCCAGAAGACGCTCTGCGACCAGAAACACAAGTGTCCGAAGCTTTGTGGCGATCCATGCGGCAAATGCCAGGTGAAGGTGATCAAAGTCATCCCTCAGTGTGGTCACGAGCAAGAGGTGCAGTGCTCGCAAGCTCCGGAAACATTTTCTTGCCAAATACCTTGTTCCAAGACCTTGGATTGCGGTCATCAATGCACCCGATCTTGCGGGGAGCCTTGCACCGTGAAGTGCTCTGAGCAGGTTAGTACTGTGTTGGAATGCGGCCACACAAGGCAAGTCACGTGCTACTGGCAGAAGGAGGCGGAGATGAGAGGTGAGCCACTGCTCTGCTTCAAGGAGTGCAGAGTCAAGCTGCAGTGTGGCCACATCTGCAATGGCAACTGCTTCGATTGTGCCCAGGGCCAACTTCACACGGCTTGTAGGACCCCGTGCAAGCGGCTTCTGGTGTGTTCGCACGAGTGCCGAGAGCCTTGCACCAAAGAGTGCCCCCCTTGCACACGGCCCTGCGAGAATCGGTGCATCCACAGCAAGTGTTCGAGGAAGTGTGGCCAGTTGTGCATCCCATGCATGGAGCCTTGCGAGTGGGTTTGCCTGCACCACAGCTGCACAAAGCTCTGCCACCAGCCGTGCAACCGGCAGCCGTGCAACAAGCCGTGCCGTCAAATGCTTGGGTGCGGCCACCCCTGCATTGGCCTGTGCGGGGAACCGTGTCCGAACAAGTGCCGCTTTTGCAACGAGAGTGAAGTCACCGAAATATTTTTCGGGACAGAAGATGACCCAGAAGCCAAGTTTATTCAACTGGAAGACTGCCAGCATATCTTTGAAGTGACTGGATTTGACAGCTGGATGCAGGAAGACAAAGCTGATGAGGCAGTGATAAAGCTTAAGGTTTGCCCTCTGTGCTCTACCCCCATTCGGAGAAACCTGCGATATGGCAGTGTCATTAAGAAGACCCTGACTGAAATAGAAATGGTCAAAACTAAAATTGTGGGGGATGAAGAATACCTTGAAACCTGTAGAAAACAGCTTGATCAGTTTCTAAAAGAAGAGAAGAAAATGTTGATATATTTCCCAATGGAAACTGAAAGCCTGAAGCAACAGTTGGCTGAGCAGAACCCAAACCTGCACTTGCTGCTACTGCTGGGACACCAAAGCAATCTCCTCTCTAAAGTGGCAGAACTAAAATCAAAAGCAGATCAGCTTCTCCAAGTACAGAAAATGAAGATTCAAGGTGAAACTAATCTCTGCGCAAAGTGGATCACGAAGCCAAGAGTTTTCTTTGCAGATCAGGAGCTTTCAGATATCCAATTTGTACTCTCGCACCTTGAATGTTTAACTGATGTGTACTTCATACAGAGTTTGATACACAAACAAGGAAGTTTGTTAGAATTGAAAACACAGTGCAAAATTAATGACCTTCTGCGAGTGCTGCAAGACAAAGAGAAGCGTGTGGAGCCGTGGGTACAGGAAAGTATCGATCAACTGAAGAAGGAATTTCTGTTACCAAAGGGAAAGATTTCAGAGAGAGAAAAGCTGATGGTAGTTCATGCTACGAAGCTGACTCAGGGTCACTGGTATAAGTGTCGCAATGGGCACATTTATGCAATTGGAAACTGTGGAATGGCGATGGAGACTGGTGTCTGCCCAGAATGCCACACTACAATTGGTGGGACAAATTGTCAACTTTTATCCGACAACTTGGTAGCTTCTGAAATGATCAGAACCGACTCTTCTGAATTCCTTGATTTTTATTGATTCACCCTGCGCTTTCCACTTAATTTTAGAATAACATTTTGAGCTGTGCTTTTATAATCCCTTACTCTAACCACTCAAACCATTGTAGCTCAGTGGGTAGAGCACTCAACTCGTAAGCGAAAGACCTGGGTTCGATTCCTAGCAGGGCAAAACGTTGGGCAATTGTCCTTACTCCATACGCCTCTGTTTACCTAGTAGTAAGAACTAGTTAGTTGATTGGTGGACTGCTTTTCCCAGAGTAATAATTCCTTCAAAAAATAAAAGAAATAATAAAAAATAATTTAAAAAATATATCAATAAAAATAAATTGGTCACTTCAATCCACGACTGTTTGTGGGAACTGCTGTGCGCAATTGGCTGCCGCTTTTTGCCCACAAATATACAGTCAATTCACTTTACAATATATTCTGTGAAGCGCTTTTGAGATGTCCAGAAGACGTGATAAGACGTTATATCAAATGCAAGGATTATTATTATTTGTTAATGTGTTTTTCATGTCAGGAGGATAAAGCCCTTCACAAGATTTACTGTACTGTAGTAACCGTGTATTTTGTAGGCGCGTGTGGAAGCCAATTTACACACAGCAATGATGCACAAAGAGCCATAAATTCATTGTCCAACTTTCTGTAATAATAATCCTTGCATTCGATATGCGCCTCATCAAGTCATTGAGGCTTCTCAAAGCGCTCCCCATGATGTATTGTGAGGTGGATTGACAGTATTTTGTGGGCAAAATACAGCATTTAAGTTTTTTGTGCGTTCGGCAATGTACATAATCAAGTCATTTCAGTTGCTCTTGCAATGGCTGAATAAATAAATAAATGCATCCTGTGGTATGGTCGTGAACAATCTAGATTAAGAAGGTTTCATCCTTTGATTGTGCTCAGTTTACTGATATCAGTTGGAAGGCGGTTACTATAGCGTTATCGAGACTGTAGAGGGGAAACTAATCAATTAGGGAACGTGCTGACCCTGATTTAAAATGTATGTAGGTAGAGTTTGAAGGAAGAAAGCGAAAGTATCATGCTCAGCTGAGGTGTTCTTTCTCTTACAGCTGAATAGGACGCCAATGTTTACTGGCCAGGATTGAACCAGGTATTGGAGGCTAGCTGTGGAAAAGTAACTCAGCAAAAGCCACCATCTTTCAGAAAGGAAGGCATAGGGGAGACTTTTGCTGTGTTACCCACCCTTGCCCTATTCAGTAGTGACTCTTGTTTATCCTTTGGGAAACTGACCATCTAAGCTGATTTCACAAATTACCATAAGTGACCCAATATATTGCCTTCTGCTTTAACATTATATGTCAACATTCCAGATAAAATCCTCGTAAGGGTCAATTCACTGTGAAAATATTTTACTTGTGCACTATCTTGCAGCACCACAGTTGGTCAGTAAACGAGTATAAAACGACTAAAGTGTTACACTTATTGTTGTTGCACCTATATGCATTCTTTCTCCCATTATCCCTGTTTTACTGTTTTAGCTTAGTCGATGTCTGAAAATATTATTCAATGATAGTTTGGTAATAATGTACCTTTATATGCTCTAACAATTTGTTTGTGACTAACCCAAGCGATGAACCATCTTGAACCTTCTCGCATCTGTGTATCATGAAGTGCTCCACGTGAAGGGCACTATATAAATGCTTGTTGTTGTTGTAATGATTGTTTGTCATATTGTCATAATTAATCAAAATAAAGGTTGAATTGAATTTATGCAAAAAGAAGTGTTTCTACATTGAGTTATCTAAAACTCCACTGCCCTCACCAGACTCCACATGCCTATTACCCCAATTCCCATTTCGCCCACAAGATAATAATAATAATCCTTGCATTTGATATAGCGCTTTTCACGTCTTCTAGATGTCCCAAAGCTCTTCACAGAACACACTGTAAAGTGAATTGACTGTATATTTGTGGGTGAACGCGGCAGCCAATTGCGCACAGCAGTGTTCCACAAACAGTCGTGGATTGAAAATGACCAATTTATTATTGTTTTCTTCTTTTGGAGGGATTATTATTAGGCATGTGGAGTAAGGAAACTTGCCCAAGGTTTCACCCTGTCTGGAATTGAACTCTGGTCTCTCACTTGCAAAGCGAGTGCTCTAACCACTGAGTTACAGGACTCCAAATACACAGTCAATTCACTTTATATTCTGTGAAGTGCTTTGAGACGTCTCAATGACATATTTTACATCAGCGATGTGATGTATTTGATCACCTGAAACTCTTGTCAGCTCTAAGAGACTCTGACCCCGACAGCAGTCTCAGGGATGAGTTGGAAGCGCATCAACGCAACAGAATGAGTCCCGTTTGGAAGCGTGCACTGAAATGACCACGTGCCAGGAAGATCTCCCAACTTACTGAAGAAAACATTAAAAAGATATGAGGAATGAGTCATTGTAGCTAAGGCTAGGCAGCCTGAAGAAATTATTCCTCCTACAACGATATCTGCATGTTTTGGCATAGCTGCAGGAGAGGAGAAAGAGTTGCAATCTGTTTAATTAATGCAAATTAATATCTCCTGAATTTTCTAATCAGTGAGACACTGATGGAGCAACGAGCTCAAAGCTGACTCTCACTCTCTTTGCACCCCCAACCCAGCCCCATTCAAGTATTTAGGTGCTAAGGCAAAATATAGATACCACTTCACAGGAATACTTACATATCACTGGAAAAACAGTTGTGAGTTTGACAGTCTTTAACACCTCTGTTCTTCGAGAAGGGAATAATTACCTTGCCAGTGTCACCATTTATTTGGTTTGTTAAAACAGTCATTGCCCAAGTAATAATAAGGAAATGAGAATAAAAATAGATTTGACCTGTAAACAGGTATAACCACTTCAAACAACTGGAACGAAACAACTAATAAATTAATTTGCATCAAATCTTAATTAAACAGCACTATTTAACCATAGCATTACCTAATTTTTTCTCTGGATGTTTGGGTGACATAGAGCTCTCTAAAGTGATAAAATGTTCAGTAATTGGGCACCGTGAAGATTTAATAGCTGCTGTAATCTCAGTTTGACTTTATAATGATTTCCCCGGTAACTAAACAGTTTGCATCTAATTATTAGGTTTTCAGTTTAATAGTGGTTTGTTCACTCACTGGGGAATCGCTGTGAGATAATAGGTATCATCAATTATGCAACTTCTAATTGATGTTTTATTAATTTTGTCTGTTACTGCTGAATGTAGGAAGCTGATGTTTTAGGGATTGGGGATGGTGATGTTTTAGCCGGTGGCGTTTCTGAATATGGAGAACAAGCTGAAGAGTGGGATTTTAATGAAAAGAGATGACTTAATAAAACAGACAGCAGTGACACAGACATAGTTGGGGAGAAATTCCACCTGGGATTAGATTTACTCTATGTACTATTTTAAAGCATTCAGAGTTTGTCAAGTTATTGAACTTAGTCTTAACTTTGAAGCTCCTTTCTGTAATTAATGACAGAAACTGACAGAATGCTGGCTTCAAATTCAAGGCTGTATTTCAGAATTTGGAAAATTCTGGATGCTCTGAAATGATAGTACACAAATAGTCAATCCAGATCCAGGTGGAATCGCTTCCCAATGGTGACACAATAAGCTGAATGTCCACCTTCTGTGTTGAAGATTTCTTCACCCGTACCTCTCTTCTGCACTGTGTGGCGTCTCGTGAATTTGGCAGCTCCTTCAAGAAGGGCCAAATAATCCTTCACCAGGAGATGGTGCTCAAAGATTGGATACATGCTGGTTTCATACCTGGAACAAGATCATTTGGATGACGATGGCCCTTCAGCCCATTTAATCTCATCCTTCCAGAATACTCACCCACTGTCCTCCTATCACAGCAGGAACCTGTTTTTTGAATGAGTCAAGTATCCTGGCCTCAACCACCTTTCCTGGCAACCTGTTCCAGTCATTAATAATCTGGGTAAATAACTACTTCCTGGGGTCTGCCCTGAAATTCCCTTAGCATCTCTAAACCCATGTCCTCTTGTTCTCCTGACTTAAGTGCATCTGAAAGTATTGTTCTGGGTTTACTTTTTAAATCCCATTTAAAATCGTGTATAGCTCTGTAAGTTTCCCTCCGAAACATCCTTATCAAGACTGTAGTCCTATCTTATTTAATCATTGCTGATGCATAGCTCATTCCTCTAACCCTGGGGATCATCCTTGTTGTTCTCCTCTCCACTGGCTCTACAGCCAAGGCAACACCCCTTATGGTACAGGACCAGAATTGTTTGCAATATTCCAGGTGCAGTCTGTCCAGATTTTATGGCTTGAGTATGACTCTGGGGTTATAAACTCAATTGATTTTGCAACATAGCCCAGCAACCTGCCTTTTATTTTGCTGCCTTACACAATTTTGGCATCATGGTCAGTGAGACATCAAACACTTCTGGATCTTTTTAAGCTTTCCCCATGGCAAGTAGCTTCAGTTATTTGTCTCCACCAGTATTCTGCCCTCCAGATGGGCATATTTTTACTGGTACCAGTGAGTCTCACACACACACACACAGACCCTGAGGCTCACACACACACACACACAGTCTCTCACACACACACACATACACACTGAGTCTGTCTCACACACACATACACACTGAGCCTGTATCACACACACACTGAGTCACACACACACACACACACACACACACGCACGCACGCACGCACGCACACACACACACTGAGTCTGTCTCACAGACACACACACACTGAGTCTGTCACACGCACACACACACACTGAGTCTGTCTCACACACACACACTGAGTCTGTCTCACACACACACATAAACACACACTGAGTCTGTCTCACACACACACACACTGAGTCTGTCTCACAGACACACACACACTGAGTCTGTATCACACACACACACACTGAGTCTGTCTCACACACACACACACTGAGTCTGTCTCACACACACACACACTGAGTCACACACACACACACACTGAGTCTGTCTCACACACACACACACACACTGAGTCTGTCTCACAGACACACACACCCTGAGTCTGTATCACACACACACACACTGAGTCTGTCACACAGACACACACACACTGAGTCTGTCTCACACACACACACACACTGAGTCTGTCTCACACACACACACACACTGAGTCTGTCACACAGACACACACACACACTGAGTCTGTCTCACACACACACACACTGAGTCTGTCACACGCACACACACACACTGAGTCTGTCTCACACACACACACACTGAGTCTGTCTCACACACACACACA